AATAACCGACGCAAGTGTCGCGTTGATGGAGCGCACTAGTCCCCGACGGCTGAAGTGGAAGATGACGGAGGTGGGTGGCATTAGTTCAAGGTTATTTTAAGATGACAAATCGTGATTATCAGAAGATGGAAGAGAAAAACATGGATGAAAAACAAAAGGAATTGCTTTGTCAAAGATGGTTATAACAATCATGAATCATAATTTTAACGATGATAATAATTGTGGAAATCATAATATGATAATATTTGTAGAAATCGTAGTGTGAGATAATAATTATAGAAAAAGATGATAGATAAGTTATAGAAATGAGAAGATAAGAAAATTTTTTTAAATTATTCTTAACAAACGATCAAATGTTTTAAAACTATCTACTTTTAATAGTGATTTGATAAGAGACAGTTGCATTGCTGTTAATAAAGAAATTATTGCTATATGAATATCTGAATAAGTTTCGGTATTATTCGATCTATTTTAAAATCAACATTTGATTTTTTTAATTGCTAGTTTTGCACATGTGAAATTTATTTGGTGAGAGATAAATTTGTATGAAATGATGCGAAAATTGGTATTTATAAGCCATATTTAAGAAAATGAAATGTGGAAGAAATGATTAAATCATGAAAAGATATGATCACATATAATTGCATTAAATGAATTTAATCGTTTGAAAATGATGAAATCATATATAAAATAATTGTAAATTTGATAAAATGAATAGAAATTGATATGATAATTCAAATGACTCGTTTCTTTCATGAAATCGATTTTTAACTCAAATTATTTAGGTTGTTTCCGCATCATCCATTAAAAGAAAAAATTTTAAGTAATTATAATAAAACTTAAATTCTACATACATTGACAATTGCATCCGAATCAATTATTACTTAACATGAAAAAAATAAGACAAATACGACAGTCTGAGAATAATTCTTATTTTTCGCACTTTTCTAAAATTCATAATTCAATAAATATTAATTTTTAATCAGTTTGTAATTTTAAAATATTCCCTAGTGCGAAGTGATATGAAACGATAGAGTCGAATTGGATGATGGAATTAAACGAATGAGATAGAGAATGAATTAATTAAGATAAATTAATTAGGAAAATTTTTGGGGAGTAAATTTGACAGTATTGCCATTCTGAAAATAATAAATTGAAGTGTTAAAAAAACAAAACAAAAAAAAAAAAAAAGACGAAGTTCGTTGGTGCTTAGTGCTTGCTATAATGTCACAGCCTTCGTTGCTAATCAACAAACAAATCAGAATTTTTTTTTCTGCTGAAAGAGAGAAAGAAAAAGAAAAGAAATCTGAAAAGAAATTTTTGATGAAGTGAAGGAAAGAAAAGAAGAAAGAAAGCTGAACATTTGAGAAGAAAGGATTGTTATGAATTACTCTAATAAATAAACATATATTAACAGTAGAAAAGGAAAAATATTAGGAAAAAGAAAACAAGAAAATGAAATCGAGTTTTGCTTTTTGGATATTAAAAGCTTATTCTGTTTTTCTTCCTAATTTCATTTTTTCACAGTTTTTGGCATGAAATCATCATATTCTGACGCTAATAAATAGATCATAAGCGTATTGATTGATTAATTGATCATTTGTTTCGTTTTTTTTTCCTTTTGAACTGAAACTATACAATAGCATGAAATAGAGATTGAGGTAAATGAAGCTATTGCTGAATCAATCAATATTGCTATTTAATCTATTGTTCAAAAATTAAGCCATATTTTATATTTTAGGAATAGAATAAAATTAATTGATAAATTTGGAACTTCAAATTATTGAAGAGAAAAATTTAACAAAATTTTACAATTCCTATGAACAAATGAAATAGAAAACTGTCGGAGTAGGAAAAAAAAATCTAAAAACAGTAATTCCTAGTAATTTGTCATTGTCACCTAGCGAATGATGTCCCATCCTTTTTTTGCAGAATGTTGATAATAATGATCAAATTTTTAATAAAAATTGTATGATTGATTGATTATTCTTAATTGAGATGTATTGATTATAATCGTGTATGGAAATTTTCTTATTTTTTAAAATTTGTAGTTATAATTTAATTTTATTGAATGAAATTGATGTGAATTAAGTAACACTTTTAATCCTTTATTTTCTCTTCATCTCTTTGCTCTTAATCATTCCAGATTTTATTTCACTAGCATTTACATCTGATATTTCATCAATGAATTTAAAGTTTCATTGGGTAAAATTTTTTCTTCAAGTATTAATTTCAAAAAAACCCACAAACCTAATTTTTCAGAATTTTGGTTATATTTAAATATTTTTACAAGGCCAGTAATACTTTGCTGTATGGACATTTAAAAATTTAGTAGTTGGAAAAAATTTCCCCGATTATTCAAGATTGGATCAAATTTCAAAATTCAATATTTTGTGCTAATTATAATTTTAAAAAGCTAGAAACTATAACAATTCAGATATCACATTCAACAAAATTCCTCAAATTATCTAAAATAATTCCATCCGATTTTACAATTTCTTCCTCTAATCCATTGCTCTTTTGCAAATAACCAAGCTATTAGCTTTTTTAGTTCAATTAATTTAGCTAATTACTGAACGATGATATCATTGGTCTCGTTTTTTTTTAACAAAAAAGAAAGAAAAAAGTGGGAAGAAAGAAAACTGCACTTCTTTTTTTAAAAACATATGATTCAAAGCGCCTTTTTTTGTTTTGTTCTGAGTAAGCATATTTTTGGAAATGAAAAATAAATAAATAAAGAAACAGTTACTTTTTTCTTGTTTTGTTGTTAAAGCAAGAAATAAAAGAGAGATAAAAGAAAATGGCAGCAGACAATGTGACAAATAATAATGGTGACATATTGTCTAGATGGGACAAATCGTACATATGATGATGACGATATTAATGAACTGATCAAATCAAGGTGAAAATGATTTCTTTCAGTTGATTGAACATTCCAACAGACATCAACAATTATCCCATGGAAAAAGTATTTGTGAGAAAAATTTGACCACTAATTTCTTCAAACTAACAAAACATTGTAATTTTGTTTCTAATACTGAAAAAAGTTTAGGTACTAGTACTACTTCAATCAAATAATACATTGAATTAAAATCATAAAATGATAAACTTACTAATACAATGATAATAAACTTATTATTGGAACAATCAAATAATCAGAAAACTTGTATAAAAGGCAAAAAAATATCTGAGTAATTTTATTTTTCAATTAATTCTGTCATTTGTTAACTTATGATGACAATATGAAACTATTCTCGTAATTTAGCTTTAATTTATCAGTAAAAGAGAGCAGAAAAAGGAGTGAAGAAAGAGAGAGATAGAGAGGTAAAGAGAAAGATGAATGAGATCGAAATTTCATTTTTTAATTCATTCGTATATGTCATTTCATTATTACCACTTTAAATCAGCTATAATGATGAATCCATGACAATAATTACAAGGAGTAAAGTTCGCAATTTCCTCTTTCACTCTGCGATATTTCTCCTTGCTGCCTTTCTAAGAGATCAAAGATATACCGGGCGAGGAAGAAATGTCTTTACAAATTACAATAGAGAGTAATGGTAGCACTTAACTGATAGCTGACTAATTTCTTTCTTTATTCATTACTCGTCCTTCGTTTTCTTTTTCACTTACAAATCACCGAACAAAATAATCCCTCGAAATTCGAAAAGAGAAAAGAAAAAGAGGAAAAAGATGATAGTGAAAAGAGAATGAGGGAAATTTGAGAATTCCCAAGCCCATAAAATGAGTAAGTGGGCATTTCGTCATTTTGGGAAAACATATTTGTACACAAATTAAATTAGCTCCCGGCGGTGTAACAAAGTTCTCTGAGCTATTGTTGTTCCCATTTACAATAAATACTAATTTGCGCTTTTTCATACATTCATTCATTTCAAAATGCTCAAAGTATGTGTACATTTTATGCATATTAAAATTAGCATTTCGAAGGATATTTCAAATTAGTTTTGAAAAAAATTTATTTCATCCATTGCTTTCTTCTTAAAATATTTTTTTGAATCATTAATTCATTTCGGTCTAAAATATTTTCCCGAACTATCGGTTTTGCTTTCTTCATGATTTTTTTTTTTTTCAAATAATCGACTGCCTTCTGCTCCAAATATTTTTCCGAATCACTGGTTACTTTCTTCTCAAAAAAGTAGGAAAAAAAAACCTGCTATTTGAATCTGAAATATTTTCCCGAATTACAAGAATTCTTTTGTCTGAAACATTTTTCCGAAGTACCGTTTGCTTTTTGCACTTTTGCATTCTAAATACATACATATATAAAACAACCGAAAAAACCACAGAATTTTTTAAGTCGATTTTTCACTTTTAGCAAATAGAATTATAAAAAAAAAAAGATAAATTAGAAGAGACGGAAAGAAGGAGGAAAAGGGAAGTAATTATAATTATATTACAATAGAAAAGAAATCAAAAGAAGAGTTTTTCTTTTTTGGACAAAAAAGAAAAAAAGCGATTGTTGAAACTGTACTAAAAGAAAGAACGCAATTATGTTTTGGAAAGGTCAACGGTAGCAAAGTAACACATCGATTTCCGTTTTGGACAAACAAGCGAGAAGAAAGTATATCGAAGAAAAGCAAAACAATAAGACTTAGATATGGGATGAGAAAGAAAAGAAAAATAAGATCAGAAATACCTATGAGTGATATATAGTAATCATAATATTCACACCTGCTATTTATTAATTTCATCCATTAATTACTTGCTAAAGGTGAGAGGACGAATGAATGAAAAAATGTCAATTAAAGGTGCTACTTAGAATATCACACCACTTTATATGACCAATAATTCTTGATGAAGTGATCTAATAAAGAAAAAGTTAATGCTAAAAATTAAATAAAAAGAGATTAGCTGTTAGTCCCTTAAAAACACATTATGCTAATGTGAAATGAAAATATTATTTGAAAATCAGTGCTGAATAATTTGAAAATATATTATTCATTTTAGAGTTGTCATCAACTGGTTGTAAGCATAAAAGCATGAACATTGGGCATTCCTCAATATCACGTCCTGTAATAGTTGATGCGCAAATAATAATACCGATGACAGGAGTAAATGTCGCTGAAGCAGCATTCTTTAATCAGATATGTCCAAGCAGTTCCGGAATGCGCTTCAATTTTGATGATATCCGAGAATTTCTTCACGATCCACTTATTGCACTCATTACAACAGATTTAATGGAGCCATGATTCTTTCAATTAAGAAAGAAATTTTTTTTTTTGATAAATTTTATCTCAATTATTTCAATTATTCTTATATGCAAATATTTACCATCCACTACTGTACTTGTTGTTATCATTGTTAAGCCTTTTTATTTTTATTCTATTCAACTTATCGAATAAAAATTTATCGCTTAATAACAATTTTCACTTAAGGCTGACGAAAATTTGTATAATGTAGAAACAGTTTTAAAAAGAATGCGTCATGGAAAACAGTAAAAATTTTGCAAATAATTATTTCGAAAACATTTTAGAAAATAATAAAATTAACCTAACTTTTATTTACTGTTTCTTTGATGAGTTCCATAATTTAAGTTGGGCTATTAGCTAAATTAATAGTTTTAAATAGTATTCAAAATTTTCAGCTAATTAATAGTTTCAAATAGAAAACAACATTGCGCTTTTTTCATTTGAAATGAAAGATTTTAATCAAATATAAGTTTAATTTCATTAATTTGTTATTAGATTTGTCATTCAACGAAGATTAAATTTTAGCGAAAAGTCTTTATCTGCCGTGCAGGAAATTACGTCAGATATACATAAAGTATTGTTTACAAAACAATCCGTTGAAGAAACTAAATAATAGAAACTTTTTCAGGTGTATAATGTAAAAAATTTAAGCAATCATCGTAGGACAGTTTGATTCGTTGACAAGAGTAGAAGTTTTTTTTCAGATGAAACAGCAAAGATTTTATATGTATATTTCCTTTTAAACTACCTATTATAGGTAGCAATATTATCTTAAATTCCTTGAATGATACCGAATGAAACATATTTTATGTGATATAATTGTGTACAATTATAGGGGAAATTCCATGTAAACATGCTGGAACTATTCATTCAATATCAAAAGAACCGCAAAAACCTGATTCACTTCTACCCGGCCTACACCACGGGAAACAGTTAGTATGGAACATGTTATTAGAATATTTTTGTATCGAAATTCTATTTTATATCATTCATTGAATATATTGCTATTACCCTAAGTTAAAAAAAATTCAGTAGTTCCGAACTATATCTTAAATTTGTTTTCTTTTGTAGTAAAACAAGTTCAGTGTTAACCGAATAATTTTATTATTTAGATAAAAAAACGAAATGTAAAGAAAAAAGAATATAATTTAAAGAGGAACATAAAAATAAAAGGATTAATTGTTTTTGACAAAAGTAAGCGTTTTGACGAATGCAAGAGAGAATAAATCGAGAAATGGGGCGCAAAAGAGGAAAAAGCAAAATTATAATAGGTGCAGAAAATTATAGAAAACTATGATTTAAATTAAAATGCAAATTTTTGCATTTTAATATGTATGAATTATGTGTACTGATTTCAGCAGAATAATAAACAGAAAAACACGTCGTAATAAATTATGATATCTTAATTTTAACACTTTAAATGAAAATTATACTGTGAATATATATTACAACAACGATAGGTGCTATTATGATAGTGACAGTGATAACGATAATAATAATGATGGTTATCTGATAAGTTAATACTGTTCACGCTGACGAGATGATATGTCCGAAGTGATCCATCGAGGTTATGCAGTTACCATCGGACACAACCATTCCACTACGACTTACGTGAACACGTTTCAGTCCTCTCTTCACAAATGCTTTGTCATCTTCCTTCAATTTTTCTTTAAAAATTATAAAAACTTGGATGAACTTTGAACTTTGAGATAACACAATAAACAGACTCTTTTACGATTATTTAATCAAAATTTACCACAAATATTTCAAATCTTTCTATTCAACCATGGATATCTTTTTTTTGATTTTTTTTTCTTTTCTTTGATTAAAAAATCATTGTTCTCAGACGAATTCTGCTAATAAATTCTTTAATGTTATTTTTGATTAGTTAAGCTAGGCACGATAAAAAAATATATATAATGACAAAATTTTACTTTCTATTTATCAGTTCGTTTGAATTTTTTTTTGAAATATCATAAAAGTTGCAATAATAACGATTATAAAAGTGAATGCTAACTTGAAGAGCCATATCAACCATATTTGTGCGCACATGTACGATATTATCAAGTGGTGAGCAGCTGATATGTTTTGGACGACAGTTCACCTCCACGTCACCGCGTTCATTTTGCTTTATGTAAACTCCTTAAAACAATCAACTTTTTTTAATCTTCTCACTTATAAAACATTGATCAAAATCAGGTTAATTAAATATATTTAATTTTAAATAAAGTTTTATGACAGAAAACAACTAATATATAAACAAGAAATTATACAAAATAAATTCAATTAAAAAGGAAAAAGGGAAACCATTAATGGTAATGGTGAGAATACCATCACGTGTTCCGTAACGAGCTTCTTGTGCAATTTCATTGCATAATTCTGTGAACTGGAATAAAACACAATTCGAATTTGTATATGAATTTAAATTCATACACATATTTAATTGAGTATTTCATTATAAATGATGTAGTTACAGTTATATTTTATCTTTTGCTTATTATAAAGAATGTGGAAAATAAACTAAAACCAAAAAGTTTTCATTTTCTTCTTGTACTATTCTCATATATTCTATGTACATAATATTTTTTTTTTCTTTCTATATATTTCTCACTTATTTTTATTTTATTTTATTTTATTCAGTTACAAAATACTTACTTCCTTTTTTTCTCTCTAAAATAATAGGAATATTTTTATGTCACAAAAACACAAAAATACGTTTGTATAACAAAGTTAAAATTTGTATAAGTAATTAGGAGTGTTAATTAAACAAAAACTTTCAATAATTTTCTTTCATTTCTTTGAATTACCATTCATCTTAAAATTAAAAAAAGTTTTCTAACTGATGCTTGAGTATTTCTAATTTAAATTTGTTAAGATTCAAAGAATTTTTCTTTTCTGTAGGAATTAAAAGAAAAAAAAAAGGATGAAAGAAAAGTTTGACCTGATCACCATTTTGTGAATCAGTGAAAAACATATGCACAGTGAAATCATAATCCAAACTTGGGAATTGTAAACGTCCAAGAGAAACTGGCAAAGTGCCTTTAAGAATTGTCGAAGATACCAAATAAGCTTCGGTAAGATGTGACATCGTGAATAATACACCCTGTGTACCGAATACTGCTGCTTTTTCATTTACTAAAACTAAATACAAATTTGAAACTTTTCAATTTTAATTTAACCAATGTTATTTGCAAGACAAACTTACAGTTTGACCCGAAATTACAGAAAACTTTCTCTTCCTGCTGGAATATGCGAGCTTTTTTATGCAACAAGCATGAGCTATTACCATTTCCATTGCAAACTGCCTAAATTAGGATAAGTAATTAAATTACAAAATGTGATTTTTGGCCTACTACATTTAAATACTATCATTCTGTAGGTTAGTATACATTAAAAAGATTAATTTTAGTATCATTAATTTAAACAAAATATTAGACTGCAATCCTCAAGGTTTATATTTCTGTCTTGTTTATTTTTACCGAAAATTTATCGTAGCAGAGTACTCGGACAGCTCGATCAACTGTTATCTGAAATTAATATTGTCACAAAAAAAAAAGTGAGAAGGAAGAATGAGATTTTATAAAAAATAATGGTCGAAATGTAATATTTCATTAATATTAACTCTTAAAAGGTATATGACATTATTGATTAATGAAATTCTTGGAAAAAAACTAGCAATAAATACGAATTACAAATAATTTTATTGTATCAGTATTTTTTTTTCTTCTCTAATTCTAATAATGTTCTCATACGAAAATATTTTTTCAAGAATTTGAAAAGGTTTTTAAAAGTTTACCTCAACTGTAACACCTTTATCGAGTAAAACTGAGATGGTTCCTGTTGGTGTGGCATAAATGATTGGGAATTTTCCATGTCTTTGGTTGAAAATTGCATTATTGCTGGAGAAATGACAAGCTTCATTAATAGGTGATGAATCTGAAATAAAACTAGGATAATTTCTCTTTTGTAATAATCGTAATTCGCAATAATATGATTTATTTATTATTTATCAATTTCTATTTTTTTTTCATTATTTTTTATTATTTATCAATTTCAATTTTTATTGTGATATTTTATTAAAACAACGACTAACTTTCATTATTGATAAAATATTCTATTAAACGTTGGGAAATGGGTTCAGAATTATGATCTCGTGAACTTATTGATACGTTACCACGCCGTGTACGATTAGCACGTAATGTTCCATTATGAAATGTTCGTGTCACTTGCGATCTATGACTGAAATAAAATTCTATCTCTTTAGGTGTGTTTTTTATAATAATAAGTGAAGGACAATGTTTCAGATCGTTTCCTAAAATAAAACATAATTATCATTCATTATGGCTAATCGAAATTTTGTTCTCTGTAAAGATTACTAAAAGGAATAAAATTCTGGATATAGGATGTATTACTCTCAGGATTTTTGCATGTTATCTGAATGAATTTGCATACAAGTTAGCATTTTTTGATGACTCAAAGTTGGAAGCAGTACGCTCATTTCCATTTCCAGCGCTATGTTTTTCAGATGCATTTCTAGTTACAATATCTTTAGTGTGATCACTCATTGCACCAGGATACCACCGCCGCGAACCATTGCCGTTGTAACTAGTGGTCGAGTGAGGACGCCAGTAATCACGTGAAGTGTAAATTGTTGAACGAGACCTATCCAATACTTATAAATATTTGTGCATTCATGATATAACTGAACAGCCTAGGAACTTTCAAGAAAGAATTGAAAAAAGCTTTAAAGAAACTTGAAACGATAATTTCTCTTGCTTTTCTTCTTTTCTCTTTTTACTTATGCTTTTATTCTTTCATACCTTAATGTAAATCAAAAGATTTGTATTAAAAAAAAAAAAAAGAAAAAAAATGGAAATTATAAAACTTAAAAATTTTGAATTTCAGATGAGATGCATTTTTCTCCTTTTACAATGCATAAAAGTGTTTTGTTGAACATAATATGAAATAGTTGGGTGATGGAAAAACCAAATATGTTAAGTGAATGAGAATTTACCCGCAGTTAATGAAACCACGTCCGCCATAACCAGCATAAAAGACGTTACCACAACGACGGTTTTCATTCAATGGGTGTACTGTTTGTACCTGAAAAGTATACTTTTCCGAAAAAAATTTTTTTTAACATTAAAAACAAAATTATCATGATACGGTTGAAATGCAAATTAAGTCTTCTCACGACTTCACATGATAATCTTGCGGAGAGATAATACTACCTCATTTTACAAATCTGAAACTAACGTGGCATCATGGGAATGAAAACACATGCCTTCAAACACGGAACGCACTGTAAAGAACGTTAGAAATGGTGGGAAGTGCATTAGAGACATGTTGTGAAGATAGCAGCTATTGTTATTATTATATCTTAAATTTATATTTTAACATAACAAACATAAGTATTAAATTTAAATGTATGACCAGTTATGAGTAATTTTATGCGAAATGGAACAAAATTATTTAAATTTGAAATTATTCGGTTAAAAAAAAGAAAGGAAAGAAAAACGAAGAAACTTTTTTATTTTCAGTTGTTTTCGTATCAGTTTTTAGCAAATTTGATGACTTTCTACTATTAGCATTATCACTAGCAGAACGTGAGATAGTTGATTCGATGACAGATTTCGTCGGGTCATTGCTACTGCGAATGTCACCCATCGCTTGTTTCTTCGATTCTTTGCTTAATTTATCCTTTCGTGGCTAAAAATTGACAATTATTATCTTAAAAAGCTTTTACCGTTATACTTCACCATTTAAACAACGATGTGAGCCAGACAACAGCCTATTCCTCTACTTCTTTTCTTTTCTGTAATTTTACTTCATCTAAGTAAAGAAATAAATAATTTTTACTTATGAATATTTGGTAGATTATAAAAATCATGCATTTTAGGCTATATTGATTCAGTTTGTTCTTTGATTAATAGGTGGGATATAATAATTAGGAATGTATTATTATTTATATTATTATTAATAATTATGCGCGTCAATTAATGGCAATAATGACGATGAACTGATAATCAATTTCGTTTTGTTTAACAAATAGGTTTTATCAGTAAATAGCAACGTACTGATATCAGATCTTTTTCCTTATCCGTGATAGCTCCCTTTGGTGACGAAGCATTGGATGAGGATCGTGTCACCATATGATATGGCGATGGTGAGTTATTGTAGTTGGTATTATTATTCGCTGTTGCTGTAGCTGTCACGGTTGCATCATTCGACGATTCAGACATCTCTCGTATCTCGGTAAAGTGTGTTTTCTAATATAAGTAATAATTTTATAATAACAACAATAATAATTAATAATGGATAATTAATAATAATAGTAATAACAAGTAATAGTATTGATGACAATGATAACAATAATAATAATTTTATTTATTCATGATTTAAATAATATTCAGTAAAATTCGAAAAAAAAAGGAATGATAGCATCTTTTTCTGGATGAAGTTGGTGAGTACTATAAAGAATATCTTTTTATTCAACAGTTTTTTTTAAAGTCAATAAAACGCTAAAGTCTATACTAGATCAATCTAGATTAGACATAACTAATAAATTGATTTCTAGTTTATCTATTCTATCAAAAAAATCGTTAATTTGTTGGTAAGCTAAAGCAGAAATTTTTCTTCTTTCAAGTTTAAAAAGTCATACAATTATCTGAAAATATTTGCTTATTAAAGTTAACCAATCATCTATAAATATTTCTTCCTAGTTGATACCGACAGAATTTATTTCTAAATTCTCACTAGTCACCACAAAACTATGAAGCAATGCGACAAGACGAAACGACTGTTAAACTGACAAAGAGATAATAGCTTAAGAATAATACAATGGATAATTATGCAAATTTAAAAAAAAAAAAAAAAAAACGATTTTTGAATCATTTCAAAATTTGCATATATGCAAATTATTATGTTAAGATGAAAAAAACTTTATGTTTATAAAAAAAAAAAAAAAAAAATACTTTAAGATGAAAAAGAGAATTAACCATTTATATCAATGAATTACCAGCGAATCAAAAAATTCTTTAAAAAGGGGTTGAAATTTATTTTCGTGCAGAGTCAGAATTAGTATACTAATTCTGCTGATAATTATTATCACTATATATAATCCTTTATAACGTTTTTCACTTTATTTTTGCACAACAAATATATTTGTATCATTTTTATTAACTTTTTTCTCAATGTTTACAAAATTTTCAAATTAATTTGAACACGTAATGGCATTTTCATATCATAAGAACTTATAAACTCATGGGTTGTTATTTCCGCATACAATTGAAATAGAAGTAGTATGTTTAGCAGAGGCAGCAATTTCAATTTCTCGCAAATGTATCTTCCAAGCAATTGTAAAACATATTGATGCGGCAATTAGACTGACAGCCAAAATTATCATTTGAGTATGCAAATCCAATATTGATGAATAGAAAAATGATGCGCATGTTGTTGTCGACTAAAAATACTTCAATTTTTCTGATAACAGTAATAACGATAACAGCAGCAATAATAATGATAATAATAATAATGGTAATAATGATGATAATAACAATAATAATAATAATAATAATAATAATAATAGCAGTACTAGTTGAACAAATAGCAATTATTTTATAAAAATTGTGCTTGAAGAAAAGAGTCAAGTCAGTTAACAACCATAAAATAATTCAATTTCACGGATATTTTGTTCACCTGTTTACAATTTTTAAAACTTTCTTCTAATGTCACTGAATTTGGAAATAAATGCAAAACAAGAAAGAACATTATGCGACTGTTAATTACATTACAGTAATTAACATAATGTCAATGTTAGCTAAAAAAGAAGAATGCTTAACAGCTAATAAATTTTCACTATAATTTATTTGAGATGACATATTCTATTAAACTATCATAAAAGGTATCTAAGTTGTCTAATACTCAATTTCCTCATATTTTATTTGCGGAAAAATGATCGAAACAGAAATGATAATATTACCTGAAAAAATTTACTTAATGCAAAAATTTGTGATGAACTTTCACGATCATACATTTTTGTGAGCACAGCTGTTCGTAACGTATTCCAGCAACTATCACCGATGCATATCAACATTCCAATGATAAGCCATATGGAAAGACTAAAATAATTATTTTAAGAATTCGAAAATTTTCGGAAATTTTTAAAGCGTTTCTTTAAAAAATTTTAAAGAAATGCTTTAAATTTAAATTTTTTTTTAAATTTAAAGATTTAAGTAACAGTTTAAGATTTTCAAGATGTAAAAGATTAGAAGTTTTAGCAAGATTTTTTTGTTTTTCTATTTCGGAACCTATTTTTTTTTTGCTTAATCGAGGATTTTCGAACAGATTCATCCGTCTAATATGAAATTTGAGCAAAAATGTTTATAGGTTTATTAAATTAGTAATAACCTTGGTGATAAATAAGTAGCACCATTTGTTGGTTTCAAATTTGCATTCTTCGGAAAAGCCAAACAAACACCCAAAAAAGCTAACAGATATAATGGTAGTGCAATTAGCATTGTTGGCATATATCCAAAGTTCTTGATTCGTTTGCTTAAAAAACTGATAAAACAGCCACCTATAATGATATTTCTGAAATTTTAAAAACATTGTTTTCAAAATTCATTCTATTTTTTTTTTATTTTTTTGTATTAATCATTCTGAAACATTTCTGACTGACCACATCTAATTTCAGATGCGAAAAAAGTCTTTTAAACAAACATTTAACCAAATTTAATTCAGTAAATTGAAGGTAAAAGTGAAAGAATTAACAGAATGAAAAGTAAAACATTCAAATACGGCAATTAGCAAAAAAAAAAAAAAAACTATTTGAAAGTATTTTATTTTTTTTTCTCAAATTAAAAGAAAGTGTCACAGTTTAAAATCCATAAAAATCTTACCATGACTCACAACAGAGAAGATAGAAAAACTAAATTAAAAAATAAAAGAAAACCGACATTATAATTTATGAAAAAGAAAAAAAAAAAAAACGTTATTATATTGCTTCTAATTCGTTTCAAGAAATTGATAATATCACGTTTTCCTTATCATTCATCACAGATAAAATGATTATTCTCCCTTCTGTTTTCTTTTTTCTTTTCAGTCTTCAAATGTCGTAGACAACTATTTATAACACTAACCAGAAATTTGTGATGCTGAAGTAATAAATGCATAATATGCAATAATTTCATTACCAAAACCGATGACTGATTTTGAAAATGATAAACATGAAGGATAAATGGTTATGTAAAGTGATAATGATAAACCCATAAACATGAAACATATGGCTAATAAATATACTTTTATGTCGGTAAGCAACCGTACACTTTTTCCTAAAAATTTCATAGCATTTTTTTTTTTTTTTATCGCTGATTTAAGATTCAAAATTGAAAGTGAAAAGTTAAATATTTCACTGAAATTAGCAAAATTTAAATTCTTTATGCATTCTCTTATAAATTTCTTTTCTCTTGTTTTTTTATCTGAAATATAATTTGGACTGAAATATTTTTTTTTTTTTTCAAATAGTAATTAGGCAAATTTTTTAAAATTTCAAGATTAGCTAAATTGAATTACTTTTAATTGTTCAGTAAGAATGAGATAAATCTTGCTATTGAAACAATTAAGAGACCATCCGGAAATTATGCTATGATTTAGAAGACAAGTAAACCAAGTGACTAATTAATCAACCAATTAATTAATGAATTAGTTCATTTATTATATTTGTTAAATTTACAGTAAATTCAATAATTTACTTATGGTTGTTAAGAAACTGTCACGTTTCGTTATTGACTGATTGGAGTGATTGGGTAGCAATGCGAATAAAATGTTCGATAATATTGTAAACGCTGATAATCCACCAAAAATATATCTGTCAATATTTCATAAATATAAACAAATAAATTTAAATCTACGTGCAATTTTGAAATTGTATTCTTTCTCTGAGCTTTAATAAGCATAGATTATTGCAATTTTTGGATTTTTCTAACTCAAACATATACCACAGTGGCAAAATTTGATAGTAATTTCTATATATGCAAGGATTTCCTTCCTTTTTGCAGATCTTCGGACATTATGGATGAGCGTTTCTGATTCATAATTCTAATTGATAGATGCTTTATTAAACTTTTAATTTGGAAATGACAATAGTTTAATAGTTGTCTCATTCATATCTCGCTCATTTCAATATTTTCTGAAAAGTTTTATTATCAAACTCAAATGTGATGAAATTAAAAACTATCTGAAAAATATAATCTCTACAATCAATGATTTCTCTATCGGTATTTCAAGTGAGGGATTATTCTTGTTGTTCACCGGTTTATAGGAATTAGAATACTATGCTAAAAATTGTAGAAAAATTAACTGCTTATCTAATTTTGATTATATAACAAGGAAATTTTGTAGAAGTTTTAAGAATGCGAATCAGTTTTCTTTCGGATTGTTAAACGGAACGGATTATTCGGCAAAAGATCTAGCTATTGACTAATCATCCAAAAAAAAAAAAATGGACTATTTAAAAAGTTTGTTTTCAAAAATTAAAATTCTTTGGCAGCACTTTATCATTTATTGAAGCATCCATGTTTAAAAAGAAATTGATTAAAGTGAAAATATGAAATATTAGATGAAAATGTGGAAATTGTTCGAAAAATTAATGATTCAAAAATGGAATTTCCTTTGAAACTTTTGGTATAAGCTTTCAAATTATCATCTTTTCTTGATTTCGTTAATTAATGAATCAAACGTTATATTTATTTTTTTCTTTAAAACGTTAATTACCTAATTAGTTCCAATGATATCGTTTCTGCTTCACCAGTTTCATTAAATATTATAAGTAAGAGAAGGCCACCGAAGATGAGACTGAAAAATACATGCTTTTGCGAGAGAGATCATGATAGGTCACATGTAGCATTGTTAAAGTTATTATTTGTAATTTTTAACATTTGTAAGTAAAAAAGGCGAAAAAAAAGTGCTGCGAAGTAAATAAAATTCGAATTGAATAAAGATGAGATGCAATTAAAACAAATAAAATTATAAAATTCACTTTTTTTTTAACTTTCCCTTTTGCTATATACATAGTACGTATGTTGTCAATAGTCACGTGTTACGTGTAATTTTAAACGAAGTGTGATTAATTATATACATCATCAATTCGTCTTTATTTTTTCATGTTTTCTTTCTGATTCTATTAGATGATTTGTGAAATGCTTTTTTTTTTCTTCTTTAATTAATAGTTGAAATTTCAGTGTGTTTTAATTTTAGTACGTTTATTAAGAAAGAGAAAAAAAAAAAATGTACAAACCTAATAAAATTGATACCCCAATGAAGACCGCTATTTCGTGATTCATTGCCAAACGTTGTTATTTCTTTCATGTAAACACCATGACCGGTCCAAATAACTGCAATAGCAATTGCTTCTACTTCAAAAAGAAAATAATCATTCTAATCATTAGAAGAAATATATTGTTATCAAATATTTCAATGAAAAGATAACAACATTTTATTGATATTTAAATTCATAATGATTAATACAAATTAATAATATTTTCAAATAAAAACTATTGAACTATTATTATATGATCTGAATAAAATCAATGGATAATTACATCCTTTAACAAAAAATATATTTAAAAAAAAAAGACTTACGAGCAGCTGCTAAACCCATTAAAGCAGATGCAATATAAAAGACATAGCTGTTGACAAGCATGAATGTAACCATAAATGTTGAATACAGTACACTTGCTAAGAACATTGTCCATTTAGCGCTCAAATAGCTCACCACAAGTGGCGTAATAAACGTTGATAACGTAAAAGTAAAATAGGTTATACACATCCTAAATTTATTTCACATCTTTTTGCTATACAATTTATTCTTTAAAGAAGGAAATTTCTTCAATAAAATCGATCAGCGTGATAGTAAATATCACATCCCATTTTTTCCTTTCATTAAATAATTCAATGTAGCTAATTTGATTAAAATATTCTATGCTACAAAATAATGTTTGGTCACTCAGAATGAAAAAAATTAATTAAATCATTAATTATCTACTCAATTTATTATTCAATGAATTTTTTCAAATCTAAATTTTATGCAATGTTAAATTGCATCACAGTAGTTCAAATAAAATTTTAATTAAATTTATTTAGTATAATTGAAAGTAAAAACTTTTTTCTCTTGTTAACTAAAATTCTGATGAATAAAAAATTTTTGCGCTTATTTATATCTTTTTTTTTGAATAGGTGAACTTGTTTTTATTAGAATTTAACAAATGATTAAAACACTGTAGATTAAAACATAAATCATATGTAAATTTGCTTACCCGTAATATCCAGCATGGGCAGATATTCGATCGGGATATGCGTTTGATACAGATTGTAAAGCCGTTTCAGTGATATATGCTTGGGTATCAAAGCCAGCAAATACAAACATAAATGCCATACCAAACATAATTACGCATGGCAGTTCAGAATTTAAACCAATTTTGGCATAAAATTTATTTGGCATTTCTTTTACTAACAAAATTTTTGAAGCAAATTTCAAATCTGCAAATTGATTAAATTATTTGAAAATTTTCATCAAAGTAGGCAATTTAATTGAAAAAAAAAAAATATTTGTTAACTTGAAATAGCCGCATTTCTTTGTCCATTTCAATTTTATAACATTCTAATATCATTTAGTACAGAAATGTGTTTCTTTTTTCTTTTTCAGAATAAAAGAAAAGACTGTTCAAATAACTTTTCATTGTAATGCAAAAAATCAAAGTTTGTGAAAATTACTCCACAATGGCGTAGTTTGTTAAGAAATTTAATTCAATACTTACAAAAAATACATTGAAAAGATTGTATTGTAATTAATCATTCTTCAATACTAAACTTATCATATCGGTATCAAAAATTTTTACAAAGACCTTATCAATAAAAATTATTATGCTTATTTAGTTGTTTAATTAATCTTTCGCTTAGAATTTTTTTATCAAAAATAAAGGAATTAATTGTCAGTGAAAGTATTGGTAAGTATAATAAATTTTTGCAAATAATAATAAAAGGAGAAAAAAAAAAAAAGATTTCCAAACAATTCGAGACGAAAGGTTAATAAGTTTAAGAAATACTGAGGAGGAAGTAAGTGACACTAGAAGGCGGGCAGAGCAAAAGAAAAATAATTGGGTGATGCTCTATCAGAACAATAATCGTTAAACGATTTTGATAAAATATCATTACTAATTAAAACTATAAAAGAAAAAATTATGTCACATCAAATTAATCAATTGCTTATAATTTAGCCTAAATTGCTAATTTAATTCCGTGCAGGACGCATAACTTTAGGTTTTAATTTATTTTTATATAAAATAAACTTATTAGCTCTATTTATTATCATCATTGCAATCATTATTCTTGCTACTGTCATATTGTTATCATTTTATTTTTAATATTACTATTTATTTAATCATGATAATGTTTACACACCAATTCTGATTTGTCTTATTAGAACTTTTTTGATGATAGCAACTTTTTTGTTATTGATGCAAACTTTTATTAAAAAAATTTGTTGTAAACTAAGATTATTACGATTTTATTATTGAATGATCAATCCGTTTAACCATATGTAATTTCCCGATAGGTTGCAAATGAGGATAGATTCTAGGAAAAATGTAATAAAATGTCATACATTGGAAATTTAAATGATTCATGAAGAAGCTTTCACGCAGATTAAAAAATAAAAAATAGATAAAACGAGAATAAAATAAATGAAAAAATAAAAAAAATAAAAAATGAAAGTAAGGATTAGAGTGAAACGGTAGTAAAAAGAAAGTATTCACTTTTTGGTATTAAACGCATTATTATTTTAATCGAAAATATCATTTATACTGCTTGCTTACTTTGGTTTAAGTATGATAAAAAAAAAGATTTAAAAATAAAGATTTTCTACCATCTAAATTTGTCTGCTATTTAAAGAAAACAGAATCCGGAATCTCATCTGATTTAATTACCAGTGCATGCAATAACTGTTACATGTATAATATCTTATTATCACATATTGTATTGTTCATTGACAAATAATATGACAAATTAGTTATTTATTTGAATTTAATTCAGAAAAATTGAGCAGATTATTTTAGCCTTAGCATCATGATTTTCCAGCTATTTCATCTAAATATTTATAATAGGCAAAATCATTATTTCTTAAAATTTGGTTTCCATTTTTTTTAGTAACCCATAAAACTTTTCGCTAAGATTTTTTGTGTTATTATCCTTGATTTCAAGTTTATCATTACTTTTCTAAAACGAAAAAAAAGCTGTCTTTCATAATTAACATCATTACACATTATTTATCGTTTTTTAATTAAAATTAGCAAATCTATTAAGTTTGATTCATTTCCATATTTAACATAAATTTAAATGAAATAAACATATGTAAAAAGCATTTTTCGCTATTATCCAATTATGGGAGAATTGAACGGTCAAGATTTAAGGTCATCATTGTTTTCCCAAAAATAAATAAATAAAAAATAAAATGAGAAGAAAATCGCAAAACGTTAGACTTATTATTATCATTTGTACAAGTATTTTTCTAATAATTGATCTAAATAATTACATTACAGAAATTCACAGATTTCATGTAATAAATGAAGTAATAAAAGTTCTTTTCAATTTTTAACTTTAAATTTATTCTCATCTATTTGCTCAATTTATTCATTTTATAGAAACTGGGGATCGTAATAAAAAGTAGAAAAGACATTAAAAATAAATTTTTAATCCTTTTTAATTCTGATGGAAATTTATAATTGCTAAGGAGCAAATTAAGGAGCAACTATTTTTTTTTTAACTTTCAAGAATAGGTAAATAATTTTTGCCTATTAATAGTGCTTCGTTTTTTCTTCTCACATATGATGATGAATCAACAAGAAAAAAGCCATTATCAAAAATTTTTGAAACCGGTATTTTGGTTAAACAAGCGGAAAAGGAAGAAATTATTTATGTTCAACTTTTTCTATTTTTGTTAAATCTCCTTTTTTTTTTTTTTTTTTGTTTTTTAATTAAACAATGATAAATGTTATGGGAAATAAGCGGAAATTATTAGCTAAAAATAACTGTAATATTATACAAAAAAAAAAAAATTATTTTTAGCAAAATATTTGCATCTTATCACTTTATAAAGGAGAATTTAATGAATACTTTAATAAATTTTATTAAATGAAACAAGCAATTTAGTCTTAGTTTTCTGTAGAAAGCGATATGCTTCTATAATTTTTAGTTTTTATTCATAATATTTGATAACAGAGAAAATCTGTAATTGAAATCTTTTATCCTTATCATTTTTTATACTTTTTTTTCCATGAGAATATTTTTTGATGACATATTAGAAGGAACATTTTTACAAAACAATGACTGAATTTTACCTTTTCAAGGTAATTTCCAAATATGTAATTAAATTAATGATCGCTTCTTGATGTTGCACTCTATAAAATCGTTTGTAATTTGACTGAATGATTTGACTGTTCTACTCATTTCTTCAACTTATATCAAAACAATCAAATCTTTTGATTCTTCTTAAGAACAACAAAGAAATGACAAAATTCTTAGTTTCATTGTTTCTGTAAGTTTTATTTTTCATTCTTTGATATTTTTGGATTACTTTTACTTTTAAAAAAATCGAAGCAAATAAAGTGATATATTTTATGCATTTGAATGGATGGAATGCTTTTACTTTCTTCAAATTGAAGTTATTTCAAAAATTTCATTTTTGGAATTTAAAATAGATATTAAAATAAACGCTAGTAATTTCAGATTACAAATTATCGTACCAGTGATTATTAGTCAAGTGTACAATTCCTTTAATGATAACATAGTAGGAGATGGGGTATGCGTTTTTGTAATTTCTCCTTTATATCAATATCTAAATTCTTTTTGAATATCGTTCGAGTTTTTCCAGATATATTTATAAACTATCTGCTAAGAATAACTAATTTCAAATTATTTAAATTTAACCACCTGTAATTTTCAGTCATTGAATAATAACGGAAATAGTGGGATGCGTAGAAGTGATGAAATTCGCAGATCCAACAACAAAGAGAAGCGTAGGAATCGTCCCAACGCATACGGTTTTATTGGAGGATTTGGTTACTTTGGTAGATTAGATGAGAGTGATAGTCGCAAACCTGAATCGAACCGCAATCGCAGAAGAGATTATGAAAATACAGGATTTGATTTCGGTGGTTGGTTTTATTATCCATTTGATCCCAGAAGATGGATTTTTAACAATCCCTAATTTTTCAATTTATAATGTTTTTAATTAATTGACTGGATACTTCAACTGTAATATGATTCACTAATAAAAAGAAAACTCTGACTTCATCGCAATAAGTTAAATTGCTCATGATTTTTACATTATATAATTTAATAAAATGATTTCACCCTTTCGCCAATCATTTTTTATTTCATGAAATCACACATTTCTGCTTCTTGCCATTTGTAACTCCCTGATTTTAGGTAATTTTATTAACTGCTCAAGTATTATTTCATTCCTTAGTTAATATTATAAATGATAAATAAAATTTTTGGTCAGTTAAATTTCAGAAAAAAATGTTCTGCTACAAAATATAAATTGTTGTTACGCACACAATACACATTTGTCATAATGTTTTATCATCGACCATAATTCTCGATTCTGACCAGAAATCTAATTTCTAAATGTTTATTTAGATTATACTGCTACTATATAAAACAAATTATATTATTCAAATAAATCTACGAATTTAAATTCATAAAACTTGTAAAGAAGTTTAAAACAATTTTTTTATTTTTAAATTTTATTTTTTCATTTTTCTGGAATTGCAAATATCTAAGGTTAGCATCACTATCATAGGTTTAATGAACTGGAAACACTGTTTTCGGCTAATTAATTTTTGTTGGCAAAGATTGCAAAAAAAAGTTTATAAAAAATTCATGAATAACGACCAATGACAATTGCTATATTAAAGAATCACCAATCAATGGCTTTTTTTCCTTCGAAATCAAAAATCAAAAACTAATTGCTATGTATTAAATTCTTTTACTTAATGCCATTTGCTACTATCATTGAGTTGTTTACGTTTTACAAATAATGAATTTCACAAGTGCAACTATGAAGTATTTACGTAATGCTTTTTTTAATTCACGTTAATTTTGGTATATTATTACATCTTGCAATTAACGTAAATGATTGAAAAGCACTGAGACGAGTTTACATAATCGTGTAAACGTGCAGCTAGAAAATACTTTTCTTTTTTCTAAATGTCATTATTGAAGCATTATTCGTCTGATTTATTACTTTCCATAATAAATTAAGTTCTTCGAAAATGATTGTTGTTCTAATTCCATCACAATAAATTAAATTACCCATATGAAATTGATAAATCCTATATTAATTTATATATTGAACCATTTCTGATTTATTGTAAACAAAAAAACGAAACATTCAGACAAGTATTTCTATTAAAGAAAAAAATTTGCATTGGACGGAAAAATTATCTGAACGGATTTTTCATTAATATCCGGAATTTATAACAAATTGACATAGCGAACGGTTGAATTAAAATGATTTTTTAAGTCTAATGGTTAGTAAGCGCATATGTTATTTGTGACAAGATATGAATGATGTGATTTCCAATTTAAGTTGCATATTGCAATGCATTCATTATTGCAATTTTTATAATTCTTCCAATTTCTGATACTAAATTTAATGCATTAGGTGATTTCACACAGACTTTGTTTTATAAATAAATATTTTAGATTTATCAACTACATGTAGTGTTTAATTTATTTAGATAAATATGATATCTCACCCATATATGTTATTATTCCCTGTGTTTATATCAGCAATAGTCGGTAAATCAGTTACGGATGATGTTCCGAGAAGTAAAATCAGAGTTCCGGTGCCAGTTAATATTTCCGGAGTAATGTTTTGCAATCGTGTGTCAGCCTATGCAGTGCTTATTAATATCGTGGAAGAAGTTCCATGTTTGTTTTTCGTAATTTTTAAATCTAAACTACCTACTTTAACCCTTTTTTAACTTCCAGGTTTATTCATTAGTAAAATTATGTTTTTATTTCTTTGTCTGAAATTTCCGTGAATGTAGTTTTATCATTATATAAAACTGATTTTAAAAATCATAGAAAATTTCCCTTGATCATTAAAACAAAATTTTCTTTTTTTGTAGAAGAGAATGACGTAGCAAATGACAAAGAAACTTGTCCTTCAATCTTCCAGTAATTGCAAATTCTCTTCTTTGTATTCATATTTTTATATATAGCATTTTTCTTTACTGATTATGAAATACAAATTCAATGATGATTAAAGATTATTATTATTACCGTAAGCATCATTCTTGCTTACGTTTACCCGCCACGTATCAACTCTATATTATATTACTTATCATACAACACATATTATAATCATTATCCATCCTTTATCACAATATTATTCACTTTCATCATCTGTCACTATTATAAGTAAACTCATATTAATATTACGCAACGATCACATTACGTAGCAGTAAAATTGAAACTAATAATTTTAATAAATATATATAATTTTAAGATGAGGCAGAAGAAGGTAAGAAATACGGTAAATTACGAATTAGCGACTACAAACTTTCTGACCGCGATGGTTATTTCGAGATCGTCGGTCGCAGATATATTATAACGGATCTGTTGTTATTGAATATTACTCACCATTGCTTGCCAAATTCAAAACGGAAAAAGTATCGGGTTAGAAGATTCTGAAAATTTGTTAGGCTAACAGAAAATTAATCATTCTGCAGATGTTTAATAATAATGTAAAAAAAAATTTTTTCTTTATTCATCAAGATTTTACAACTACAAACACAATGAAAATTTAATTGCTGATATAGTTTCTATTCTAATTTACTGACATACCCACTGAATACATTTTCAGACCTATTTTCTGTTTTTGATTATTTAATTATTTTAAAATTAAGTTTAATAATTCTTTCATCATTTTTATGTAAGAATAGCTGATTATGGTACAGGAAAATACGTCGTGAAAGTTTGTTGGGGTTCTTAGCAATTGCTATAATAAATATATATTCAATTGACCGGATAGATTTTACTTTGAGAAAATTTGATTGAAATTTGAGTAATTGTTAGATTGTAATTTGAATGATCTGATGGGAAGTAAATTATAGCGCTGCAAAATACAAGCACATTGGTTTTTAAGAAATGTTTAAAAGAAGTTAAATGTCTCAATTGAACTCCTTGCAAAGTGGTAATGAATGATGTCCAACAAAGAATTTTTAGCATTAAATGAATCGGTTATTTTAATGAATATGAGCTTAGTGCATATATATATTAAACCAGTGTAGTTTTTTTCGACAGATGAGCAATCCACGTTATCCATCAGAATACATTTTTCTTCTACTGACAGTGACTGAGTTATAAATAAATAAATGTACCTGCAAAATTTGCAGTACATCGTACACTTATGATTCCAACATCATCCCCTACCCTCTGTCATTTTGCATATTGGAAAATGATTTTTTTGTCATCCATAGGTCATTGTTGGCAGCATCCTTCACTTTTATTAACTTATATAATGAAAGTATGCAAATATAAATTTTTAAATTTCAAATATTTCCATATCAGATTTGAAATTGAAAATGCAGATTGTGGACAGTTTCAAAAAATTGACACTTTCTTCAAGAAATTGAACGATATTTATTGATATGTAATGTATTTCAGAACTGCTTTACAAATATCATGTACAGAATTCGCAGTGATCTAAAAAATATGAGATATAATGTCGGTGAAATTTATCTGGATCGATTAGAATTGCAAAATAATGTGCAATGCCGTGAATGGCCCTATGAATATCCTCAATTCGTTAAAGATTATATCGCCAAAAATCCAACATAAATTAAATGTGACTCTAAGATATCACTTATTCCTAATATAACTCTGTATTTCCTTTCTTATTTTCATGTTTGGAATTTATTATATTATTTATTAATTTAAAATTTCACTCAATTGTACATAAATATATTTAATACATGATTTCAAACAGCAATTAAAAATATGCAGTTTTAATTTTGATAAATTGAAAGTATTATATGTGATCTTCGTGCATTATATTCATTTAAGTTTAACACCTTTGTCGAATTTTGGCAAGTTTCGAATTAAAGATAACTGTAAAAAAAATAAAAAAAATCAAAAAGAAGTTGCAGCTGTAAAATTATTTTTTACAGAAAATTTTGTCCAAATTTTGCAGCATTCCAAAAAAAAAAAATGGTTTTGTGATATTACGTCTTCATGTTTTAAATGTGGAAAATGTTGCACATTTCAGCATTTAATTTCATCAGTAATATTAATTGCACATTTATTTCACAAAAAGAAACAATAAAAAATATTTCATATTAATTAAAATAAAAAAATATTTCAGAGAATGATTCTTACCACTTTTCGATTTTTATTTCAGCTATTATTATCTAACCAGTGATGTTATTTATAAACCAGACCTTTTCTGAGAAATCCACAATATTTGCTACTATCTGTTAATCCATATATTATTCGTTCATCTGTTTGCCAGGATTTACCTAATTTTCACAAAGATTATCAAATCAATTTCGATTCGCTGCGTAAACGAAAATAACCAGGAAACATCGTAGCAAGTTTTATGTGGTTTTTTCTCATTTCATTAACATTTGTTCCATTTTTCTTTATATAATTAATCGAAGTTTAATTCTTCTGCTTTGGCTGTACTTTGTGCTTAACGAAAATTTTTAATTATTTTGAAACGCAAATCGAAATTAAGTACTACAGAAGCAATACATCCGTAATAATGATTGAAGTGGATCTAACTTGGCGCAAAATGAGATATGAATTATAAAATCGGATGTTGTGATATGAAGGAGATATTCTATTATCAAGTAAAACTAGGAAATAGCATTAAGAATGAGACATTCTTCTACTTATTGCTGCCTGTCACTTTAGACTGTTTGTTTTGATGTATGTACAAAGTGCAACATTTACCCCCAATTCCACCACACCTGCAACGAAAAAGTCATTCTTCTCACTTTACCAAAGGACAATCAAATGACCCCAACGCCTACCACTTCAACGATTCCAAAATGCACCGTCCACAACAAACACTTCTTCACAGAAACCTTCACTAAACTAAGGACTATTTCCAAAAAATCAGAAGATAAAACGGGATTGAGTCCTACTCAGCCAATATTAGAGACAATTCCGCAAAGATTGTGCAGTGGTTTAATGGATGAGAGAGGCAAACACAGAAAAATTACTTTTAGCTGTGATATAGTTAATATGATGGAGTGCCATTTTAGGATTTTTTCATACTTTAATATCCTATAGTTAAGTGAAACTCCCAGAAAGCAAACTCTCATGACCACTAACCAATCGTTACTCTTGCAAGACTTCCGAAAATATCTTTATAACCATGAACACTTAAATTTCGATGCATTTTTGAGAAATTAATATCTCATTTAATTAATGCTTTATGGTATTTTCGTTCAGTTATTGTGAGCAGTGTATAATATTACTTAATGAATCATTATTGGAACAGTTGTTTGTCATTAATATCATATGTTGCTCTTCTCTCTTTGCACAAAATTAGTATATCAAAGGAAACAATAAATTGCTTTATTAAATTCTATGAGTGGTATCTATTTATTTATTTAAGTTATTGAGTAATTTTTAACATAGATAAAATTAAAAGTGGCTGAAAATCCATTAACTTTGACATATATTAGAGGGACGAATTCAATTATTAAATAAATACTTATTTAAAATTTGATAATATATAAAAAACACCATACAGCGCAATCTATAACAATCTAAAGCATTTCAAATTTGTGAAAAGCCGAACAGATCCAAAAATTGCCAAAACCTGAATTGAACAAATGTTTGAATGTTACTGCTTATGGGAATGATGATTTAAATCAACGGAAAAGATAAGAATAACTGTTTATTAATTTATCAGAACATAAATTTATCAAAAAGAAATTAAATGAAGTAAATATGTCCAAAAATATCCAGTAATTATGAAAATCCAAAAAGTATACATATAAAAAAGATTGTGATAAGTTCAATATCGTTTCTTCCTCGATTTTAAAACACTTGCTGCTTACAAGAAATTAACTTCTAACCAATACTTAATTAACCATATTTTAAAATAACTAGAAACTAATCTAAAGTTAAATTAAATGACAGGATGAATTGCAGCTGAATATGAGTACCAAGAAGTAATAATTAATTAAATGATATAACTTAAAAAATAATCATTCTGACTTTAATGCTTTATTTACAGTTCATGGTGAAACAAGTTGATCTTCTAATTGATTAAACTAAAACAAAAATATGTGTAAAAATCGTGAAATGAATACTGTCAATTCTTAATCTCTTAGAATATTCAAAAATTAAATTCAGAAGATGGCTTTTAATTAATTGATTGAGCTAATTATACCATGTAAAGATCAAGTGAGTTAAATGAACGTTTGATTCTGAAACTGATTTTTGGAAAATTGAACATTTAAAAAAGCATTCAAAGAATTAAAATCGAATTAATCAATGAAAATTAAAAATTTGAAAATGATATGATTACGATTAAGTGTAGCCATCAATTTTGCTCATGAAATAATCAACAACAATGAGAAACACATTATCAGCAATAACGTGCTGTTTAATGTTTATGTTAATAATTCATGAACAACTGGAATAGTGAAATAAACAGCTAGTAATTAAAGAACAAAAAGAAAAAAATCAGTGAACAAAAGATGAAACAAAGATATAAAAAGTTTTTCTAATTCTAACATAATCTGTTCTTAATTAGAATTGATCAAGATTTTAATTTAGATATCAATCAAAAGAAAAAAGGGAATATTGCACAGAAAAGTACATAGATATTATCAAAATTTATCAAATATTCCAACTCCTTTTTTTTTGGTTATTGAGTTGCAAATAAATAATAAGACAAATTGAATAGAAAGAGTTAGTTATGCATCAAATTTAATTAAACTGATTATTTGATCTTACAATTTTATGACAAATTAGCCAGTTGGTCATTTTCTTCCTTGTCCATATCATTCCGATCATTTACAGTCGATCATACATTGTTGATGTTTAGAAGACGTGATGTTTTGACATCAAATTACAATGCATATTTTGAATTAATGAAATTGAAAAAATCCGTTAAATTATTGGCCGAGATTTGTAACACCAACATGATTCACCATATAAATCAGTAAATTTTGTTGATCATTTGTTTAACCAAATATATGATATATAGCTAAAAAAAATTGCTTTATACGAATTTCATGATCAAAAAGATAGAATATAAAGTGGAACCAAATTAAGAAATAACATCACCCACATGGATTTCAATCATTTAATTCAGGATAGCTACTCAATTATCATAATATCGTATCAAACGATAATAATTAATCAAGGCATTACCTCTAGATAGCAATTATTGTATCCATTTTGAAAGAAGCATTATTTGTCGATTGAAAAGAAGAAATACACTTAACAAATTCGCAGCAGCAATTCATTGAAATGAAGGAAATTCATAAGAAGCATGGAAAGAAAGAAAAGAGCCAAAAAATTATGAAAAGATTTTGTAAACAGCAAAATAATCTGATTCAAATTGTTTAACTCAATATGAAGAGGCAACAGACAGCAGTTGCTGTTAGTGATGAGACTTTAGAGCTAAGCACGAACATTTGAGCTCACGAGCTATTGGCACTGCAAAGAATATCTTAGCAGCATAACGGAAGTAAATGATTGAAATGAAATAAATTCGTCTGTGAGTGTTATGGCAATAGTTGTTCCAAGCATTGTTAAGCTATGCTCAATCAGTCAATTTTCGTATTTTAGTACTATTTAAATCAGAAATTAAATCCACATATATATATGAATGATAACCAATAAACAGATTTTTCATTCGCAATGAGCTACTTTAAGCCATTAGCATCAGCTGTGATAACAATGTATTTTGTATGCACACACACACACACACACATATATATATATATATATATATATACGCTCATAGATGATGAAGGAAATGATGATCATATCATTACGTTCAACTATCATCAACATCACTATTACAAAACTTATCTCTGTATCTCTTCTAGCTACCATTTATTTTGTTAATTCTAAATTGAATTTTTTTTTGCAATCATTGAAATTGATTTCTGTGATTAAAAAAAAAAAAAAGAAACAAAAACAAAAGTAAAAATATTGATGTAGTAGAAACGATTGAGTCAAAATGAATAGGCAGGCATTAAACAGGTCAATTAATCTTAAAACGTTCAAATTTCAGTATAATATTTGAAAATCTATCAAGATAATCGTAATAGAAGGAAGGTAGAAAATAAACATTGTAAAGAGTTCCAATGTGAAAAATGTTTTCACCCTTGAATGACGTCAATAAAATTTTTAAAATGAAGATTAAGTGGATGTGGTAGGTTTAAAATTGAAAAAAAAAAAAAAATGAGAGTATGTTAAATAAAACGAATGTTTAAGAAATGATTGGGCGATGGGTATGCAATGTAGTGCGATATCACTGACCATTTATAAATATAAATATGTCTGCTAGCTTGATTTTTTTTTCTGTGATTTACAATGTTGTTTGATACAGTAATTGATGATATATTTTATCAACATGATATAATAAATTTAATTCATCTGGTATTCAACAACAAAATGACATGAAAAACTTTGTATGAATAGCTGATTAAGAACCGAATTAATAGATCATCAAAAATGATCAACAAACAATCTCTTCTAAGTTTTGCAAAATAGCAGAATAGAAATAAATGGAATTGAAATGATGTTTACTTTTTTGTTTTTTTGAAAGAAAAGAAACACAGTAATGCAAATGTAGAATAGTTTAATATGATGGTAAGGGTGATATGGGATGGGAGATATTCGGTATGGAAGGATAAGCAAAGTTAAATAAAAACGTTATAAATTGGTATAAAATGTATAGTAAATGCTATATAATAATACGATAATGATAAGGGATGATACCAGAAATATTTAAAAAAATATCTTCAACTTGACTTCTTCACAGCTACCCAATTTAGTTGACCATCTACCATCTTGACAGGTCGAATGTGAAGCACCACCGCTTACTTTTTGCCCAAATGGACATGTTAACAGTGCCACAGAACCTTTTTGGAATTTTTGTGATTTTGAATGCTGCAAAAGTTTATGGAAATTTTACAGTAAAAAATTACAAAGAGAAGTTGAATTTATCACGACACTATTTTATGTTAGTAAAATGTTAGGTATTAAGGGCTTTAAATTCACATCAACAAAGATTTCGTTTTTTTAACTAGCAATAAAAGACATACCAAAAGGACAAACAAAAAAAAAAAAAAAAAAAATGGCAAAATTCTTGGAAAAATTTAAAATATATCAAACTGCTATTTAATATAGAAAAAAATGACAAAAATCAATTGAATTAATTTAAAATTTGATGAAAAATATACCGGAACATATGTTATAATGCCCGTTGTGTGATTCATTGGATCGCAAGTTAAATCGAGATTTGATGTCGAAGCATTGGATAATATATCAGAGATTACAATGCATGATCCTAATAAAATAATACATATGAAGGACTTGCTGAAGAATTATTTAAGTAATTAAAAAATAATTTACATAAAGTTCAAATATTTTTGCTTTAATGGTTTATTCAGCAGATGAACTAAAAAGGAAAAAAGTGGAATGATTTTAAAGATAATTATATTTTAAATACAAACATTATCTTCCAATAGATTTCAATGCTTAAGCATATATAAAATATTATCATTTATTATATTTGTAGAGAAGAAATATGGTTCATACTACTAAATAAATTTTGAGAGAAAAGATTGTGATTTTATTTAACTTATTGCAAAGAAAACAATAAAATTAAGAGTTAAAAAAAGTCACAATAATAATTAAAAAGAAATTGAACATCAAATTGCAACCATTTTAAATTGTAGTCCACTTTATTGCCTAAAATTATAAACTTTTGTTGCTTATCTCTTCAATATAGCACAGTTGTAGTAATTTTTGTTGTAGCAAAATCTTTACCCAATTTTGGTTCCCAAATGCCTTTCGAAGTGCATTTTGTAGTTGATGAACCATTTACAACAAAGCCCAGATTACATGACAAAGCAGCCACTGAACCAGTACTATGGAAAAGATCAGGTATTGGTGATAAAAAATTATACGTTATCAAAGCATTTGGAACTGGTAAATGTGCCAGACATAAAGCTGAAATAGGAAAATTTTTGGGAATTTTTCAAATTCAAACATTCTTCGTGCTACAATTAAATTTGATAACATAACCACTAGCAGTAAAATTAAACTTAAACGAGCTACAAAAGTTCAATTAAATTTTAAAATTTCTCCCTTGATTTGAAATGTATAAATGTTTAGAATATTTCTTTTAAATTTAGAATTTTTCCGTGTTAAGGAATTACTGAAGATTTCTTACTTCAATGAAAAAAAAAGTTTTTTTTTTTTTAAATTTCCATTTTGAAAAATGGATTGTACTTAACAAATGAATTGAATGATCACCCTAACCCAGATAAATTATGAAATTTTTAATTTCTATCAGAAAAAAGAAGTAAAATGGAAACCGATGACTGTTGTGGTTGTGGACAAAAGAATTGAAAATGCTAAAATGGAACGATTCATTGCACAATTTCAATTATTTCTGAAATAAGAAAGAAACATTGAAGGATATTTTAAGCTGTTGCTTGCATGATTTTGAAATTTTAAATAATACGAAATTTAAATGTCATAATGATATTTTCTTCATGCAAAAAGAGAAAAAAAAAAAACAGAAAATAAAAAAACCACCTGTGCCTCATTTCATTTTTTTCCCTCACCCTTCCCCACCGTATCGGATTTGACAAAATACGAGATTCACAAGATATTTTCCGTATAAATTTTTATAAATTAAGAGAGTTTAAGAGCGAAAAAGTTTTTGATAAATTTTAAATTGCAATGAAGAGATGCGTCAAGACAGAGGGTGAGAGGGAGAGAGCGCAATTCTTTAAGATCAAAACGAATAATAGCGCTTGTTCCTCCTTTTCTACTTTCTTCCATGAGATAATAATATAAATTGTTTGGGGTCAAACAATCAAAGATGATCACTTCCTCTTCCGATCTTATGTTCCATATTTTCACCTTTCCTTTTTCCTTTTCGTAATTATTTATTATACCTATTAATAATATTATACTTATGATGGAATCTCACAATTTATTTCATTAACTGAAATAAACATTATCACAATAGCATTAAAAGCAATATATGTAACAATTTATATTATTTAACAGTGTCATATACTACTATCGTTATTTGAATCTACCGTTCACTAACGTACGGTTATTAAATTATTATTTATACAAAAAAAAAAAAAATTGATAGTTAAATATTAAATATCTCCTCTGTTAATAATCCTCTTTAAACATAAATTAATCTACAAATTGCTAGCATAAGACATAAACAAATCTTACTTTAGCGCAGCGCTCGCGTCGCAGATCAATCTATCATTAAATATACCCATCAAATGACAAAAGCATTTGTACGATTATAAACGACTATCTGTGGAACGCTGCAAATATTTATGGAACCAAAAGAATTTTCAATCAGTGAACAAAATATACTTCACTTGGCACGTTCATTATCTAAAAACCAAATGCCTTTTCCAATTCTTTAAAATTATCTCATCTACCTTAAAATTTCTTACATTCTTAAAAATTAAATAATACGGGATGACTTTAATGCCATTTAATAACGAGATAAACGAAAAATTCTGGACATTCCTTTGCATCTTTATTCCATTTCTGACGTTAGATGATATTTAGGATTAAATCCGCATATAAATGGTAGAAAAATAAAGTTACTAGACTCATTGAAAAGATAAAGTCATATTTCACATCAGTCATTTCAAATTTGCTAAAGAAAAAATGTATGAGAATTATCAATACCTTCTAATATTGAGGAATATGTGAAGAATATATTAATTTGGGCAATTTTGGCACCATCCAAATTCGGTAATGGTTAATGTTTTTTTTTTTTCCTTTTTCTTATGGGGAGATTCTTCGCCATCTGGTCCTGAAGTTGTTCTGTGCACTTGTCGGTACTATACAAAAATATTGCGTTATCTTTAAAACTACAAAAATTCCTTTTCCTCCATCTTGCTTTTAAACTTACTCAGGACCTAAGTATTTTGTCATAATAATAAAATTGATTGCAGCTTGTAAATTTGGGAATATGAAAAGAAATATTGGACAAACTATTGAGCACATCTGTTTTATTTCGGTCTTTAAAAGACGAAGCTTTTGCTAGATGAGATTTCAACGGCCGGTCTTATTGAGCAACGTTTACTAGAAAGTAATAGTTTGAAATCAGTATTTCCACTTTCCCTGAGTTCTTATAACATAATTATAAAAACCTTCGTTTTATTGACCAAATCGTAGTATAATAAACACAGTTTATCTAACAGAAAGTAATTGAGGAAGTGGCAAAATTCAACCTCGCTGAGGAAGCAGAAATAATTTTTCGGAGGATGATCCATTGGTAGTGTTTACATAACATGTATATATATATATATATAGACTTGTAAAATTAGGAGTGATTTACAGTATCCGGATATATCTTATCGAATGCAAAGAGAATGCGAGTGAAAAAAAAAAAAAAAATATTTACGAATATTTGACAGTTGTCGTGAATTTCGAATATCGCGAGGCGTAAATTATCTCACTGAACCATTTTCTTATGTTTTTATTTTATTATTATTTATCTTTTTTCTTTTTTATTCATTTACTATTAATCGCTAAAATGCCGCATACAATATTATATATATATAAATATTTCCTATTCTTTAGCCCGTCGTAGCAGATATTTCTTAGAATAGTTGTTGTTATATCATTCCTGTATCTAAGAGGATAAACATCCTAATATATAAGGATTCACTTGCTACAGGTCTTTCTCCCTGTCCCATTTGACATTAACAATTACTTCTTACTCTGTCACAATGTCAATATAATTTAGCTCGAGGTATTTCGGTTGTTACACTACTGCTACCCAACGCGAATCTCTCCAAAATGAAAGAGTAAGAAAACCTCTCCTAAAAAAAAAAAAAAAAAAAAAAAAAACCAACCTTCACCAAGTTTTAAGTTTTTTTATATAGAGCTCTCCCAAATTCAAACAAAATCCACTACAAAGATTGAGGCCGAAAATATTTGTGTATGTATATTGGTTTCGGTATTTTAACCATTATGAACAAAGACAGAACTTTAATTAGATTTAAGATAAAGAAAGGACATGAGAAGTTGGCTAGATGAGGAATAGGAAATTAGTCAAATAATTTACAATTTGAATGGTTAATTTTTACATGAAGTTTTTTTATTGTTATAATTTATTTCGAAGATCGCGACATTTGAAATTCGCGACAGTATACCCGCACGCCACACAAAGTCACAAATCGAAAACACAAACTGCAAAACAAAACACTATTCGTCAATAGAAATCGCCTTCTGCTTCAACTTCCGCTTCTTCTACTTCAACCTTCGCTTCTTCCATGCATGATGGAAGACAAAAATGTGAATCAGCGCATTCAGCTTTCCGGAACCGACGAACTGTTGCTAAAATTTAAAAGCTTAAGGCTTAAATTGAAGGGATCCTGACATAAAACTTCTGAAAATAAGATCCGGTTTTTTACTCCAGAAGAACAGCAGAACTTTTTTTTGAAAGACGCTTTATTTTCCAGACATAAAAATCTATATAAAGCTATTGAACGTGGGTAAATTATAGATTAATCTTATATAATAATTCAGCATGTTGCATCGATCTAGTCGACGAATTGTGGCTTATATTTAGGAAAGGGCTTAGCTTATAATATGAAAGTCTAATAAATCATTCTAGAACTTAATTCCCTTTCAAATCTCATTTCCTGATAATTTTTAAAATTGTACTTATATGTTTCAGCTGTATTGAAGATCAATCTGTTTTGCATCGAACGGATCCCAAACGAAAAATTACTCATTAAGGGCTCATGCAAAATATCGGACGAAAACAACGAAAAAAAAGAAAAACGACTGAAACTAATACTGAATAACTTTGGAACCCAAACTCATCTATTTAACTTTAAAAAAAAATATATAATTTAAAACAACTTGCCCAAAAAACCATTTTTATTCACGGCTCCAACAAATGTATCCAACATGCATAACATGCAGTCAATTACAGCTTCATTTTCAATTGCTGCAACTAATGGTATGCGCCCTTTGTCATCCTATAAAAAATTATATATTTCAAAAATTCGAGACACGATTTCAGTACTGAAATCCGAAATTATTCAGAATCAAAAATGAATGACTGAAGTTTTTTCATTTAGACACTGTCCAGCAACAAGAAAGAATGGCAAAAGTTTTGCAAAATCTGTTGAGGCTCATGTCAAATCCATGTCAAACTAGTGAATAAGCTCTAAATTCGTAACCAGAAAGCATAAATTCTTTCGAGAGCTTCATTTCGTACCATATCAAAAATCATTCCATTCTGTCCAAGGAAAAAAGAAAATTGAAAAAGATTACAATTTTTTTTTTTTTTTAATTAAATTAATTTAATTACAATAGTTGAGGGAACAACCCATGTCAAACTAGTCGTTAAGAATGTTTGCTAGCGTGCCTTAAAAGGTTAATAATACTAGAAAATCACTAACACCTTTGAATTTCCTGGAGACTTATTAGTGAGATAGTATGCTACTAACTTTACAAATTAAAATTATTAGTTTTCAATAAAAAATCCAAGCAAAATTATCTCATTTGGATTTAACCACCTACCATTAGTGATAAAGAATAAGACGAAATTCTTAATACATTACGAATGAGTGTGATCATTCCTGCTTTACAAGCCAAATGCAGAACACTAAAAATAAAGAAAATTGCGTAACTGAACAATAATATGAATGAAGTTATTTCAACAGCATTTTTTAACACATTATTTTCTAAAATAAATTTGGAAATATTCAAAAGTGTGAAATATTGTATATTGCAAAGAAAATAAGTTTCAAATTAATTATCAATTTTTGCTTTGAATTTTCTAAGAATATAAAAACTAACGTCTGCCCATGAGTATTTTGATAATTGATAATGTGTTCTGCATGCCCATTAGCAGGAACCGGTTTTATATGATTCAGCAAATATACTGCTTCCATCTCATTACCAGCCATGCATGCATGATGGAAAACCGTATTACCAGCTATGTCGATTGCCTCCAAGAATGCAGTCTGTTCAATTAACAAACCTAAAAACCATTCCCCAGTTAGCACTTTGATTAATAGATTTCTCTTTCAGTACTATGAATGCTTTAAACTAATCGCTTAAAATTGTTAACTGATTAATTTCTACTGTATTCTTGAAATTTTTTTGAAATTTTCAAAAAACATACCCATATTATTAACTAATAATATGCATGTTATCATTGTCCCATAAAAGATTCAACTTGAATCAGCTGATAAAGTAATAACTAAAAGAGTCTAACCGATAATTTCCAATGCATAACCGGGATCACTGCAACTAGCTGCTGCCATCAGTGGACTTATGTGAAAGACATCTAAAGCCGAAGGATTGGCTCCAGCAATGAGTAGCGTGGAAACGACTTTTGTATAACCCTGTCGTGCTGCATGATGCAACGCTGTACGACCACGAACATCGGTTGCATTTGCGTACTCCATATTCATTTGTAATAAGAACTAAAAAAAAAAAAGCCATAAAACAATGCTACAAATTCCACACATAATATCAATTCAGACCATGTCATCCCACAATATATTAAAGTGTTCAAAAAAGAAACGACCATATTATTTTTAATTAAATATTAACAAACCTATGTTACTTTCAAATATTATTAACTGGTGTGAAAAAAGTGTTAGATTTTTACGTCCCATATGAAAACTTTCTCAGATATTAAAAAATTTTCCCCTTCTGTAAAAGACCAAACTATTCAACAGTACCGAGTTCAGGTAAAGTGCTGAAAATTTTAAACAAATATAGCTGTGATCGGAAACAGTACTATGCTGAAATTAACAGGTAACTAATAATTATGCATCTCCAAAACGTGAGTTCTTAAATCACCTGACACGCCTCAACGTGTCCACGGGATGCTGCCAATATTGTGGCCATACTCCTATTCGCATCCTTGTTGACACCGTGAAGAATATGTAGAACGCATTCATTACCTTCCATAGCTGCCCAATCAAAAGCCGTTAATCCAGTAGAATCAGCTGTTTCCTCCACACCATTAGCTAGCAAATAATTGACAATTGCTGAATCACCTGCAAAATTTGTAAAAAGTGTGGAAAAAATTCACCCATTGCAATTTCCGAAATTTAGTTTTTTCCAGCAAATTTTCTGTCAAGGATTGTCTTATTACAGAAACATCATAAAAAATGATGTGAAATATAATAAACAAATTCACATCTTACACCGTTAAGTAGTAACGCAAATGGTGATGGTAAATACTAAATATAATGGTTACGATATAAGCGGACATGTTGGTTGCCTTCAGTGCAGTTTATTATTTGCACGATTAAAATTTATTTTAATTTACAGCACTTTAAAATGAAAAATTTACCTGATCTTGCGGCAATATGAAATGGCGTAACACCGTTGCAATCGGCTGACTTGAAATCAGCACCCTTATTTACCAATTCCTTGCATAAAAGTTCATTCCGTAGACTACAAGCTCGATGCATTAAACCACGACCATTTTTATCGAATAATTTTACATCACTTTTTGGTAACAATGTAAGGAAACAATCCAAAAAACCATTTGAAATCGCAAACATAATAGGTGTCCTACAACAAAGAATAAAGCACAGTTTTGCACTTAAAAAAAAAAAAAACTTTCTTACATAGTTAATCAAACTTCAATTCAGATAATACAATTGGCAAAAAATTTTCAAACAGAACACCAGATCTTTCCCACCCATATTTTTTATTTTGCTGATAATGGAATTTCAAAAAAAGAAGAAAAAAATAGTTGCAGAACGGAATAAGTTAGAATTTTCAAGCCTTAATGAAGAATCCAAAACGTTGATATCTTTTTCCCTGAGCAATTCTACAGCAAGAGAAATGCAAACAGTCCTTCCACATGCAGCTGCAGCATGCAACGGTGTTATACCAAAACAGTCTTTCCGCAACAATGCACGTTTCCTAATTGCTGTTCGCAAAAGGATATCTACACAGCGCTGGTAACCTGCAAGTTTGAATTATCCAATCATCACACAAAATTTTCATACTAAGAAATTCATACTTTGCAATGTGATTCCCAAGTACAAGTTCATCATTTTATTATATCATTATTGTATGTCAGTAGCCATACAGTTGATATCATTCGCCAAGCTAGTTCAAAGAAATTTGAATTTTTTGTTACGTAAAAGAAAGGAAAAAAAAAAAACCTCCAGCAGAGCAAAGCTGAAGATTGGACCTTACTTCCCAACTTTTTTAAAAGCTATTAACCTTATTGGAAACATATTCCTCAATTAACACTGAGCATTCTATTCTTTTACCTGATTCATGGATTAACAAACATTAATCTACAAAATAATTATTTATAAGATTACTCTGACAAAGCACTCTATCATTAAACTCATGTTGGAAGAACACAGTTCAAACTTATCTCAATATATATAAATTACGACGTCAGTATAGGATAAAGATGGGAATACTTACCGCCTGACATAGCATAATGAATGGGAATTCGTTCCAGTGAATCCATTTCGAGGCCTATAGTATTACTAATTTTCGCTGTTTGTTCCTTATCAAGCGTCATTGAACGTGCATGATAGAAAGCTAATAGCTTTTGTAATAGTTGAGCATGATTATAACGAGCTGCTATATGGTAAAGCGTAAGATGGTATGGATGACAGGACGATGGAACAGTGGCATCGGACATTGCGTCTATTAACTGAAAATTTATTGGATTTAAATAAATTTTTAAAGCAAGTATTCAGAAGTCAAATTTCAAATGAACGTAGTCTGTAATACCATAACTTTTATCACTAAGATCGATGAGTTACGAACTCGGAATGAAACAAAACTTTCATTCACTATATCACAGAGCACTTTTTTAATCAAACAGACCAATCATCACTTTGAATATCAGCGAATTGTCACATTTAAATGTATCTACGATAAATGTCAAAATGCATACTGTAAATTCAATCATGTTTAAAGTAATGGATTGATTTAGTAAATAAAACAAACGTTTAATCACCTAGCAAAAGCTTCGTCTTCTAAAGCAGATGTACTCAACAGTTTACCAAAATATTTCTTATCATACTCCCAATCACGACTATGACAAAATACTTAGATCCTGAGTAGGTTTAAAAGTAAAATGAAAAAAGAGGAACTTTTGTGGAGAGAAAATACCTTAAATATAAATACAATTTGGATTTGGAACTTACAAATAAGACTGTTTCTAAGTTACCAGTTTTAACCGCATGATGAACTGGAAGAAAACCTGATTTGTCCCTGACTTGTATAACTGTATTATCAGCACGTAACAATATTTTAGCACTCTGAAAATTTTCAAGTTTGCTAATTCAAAACAAACTGAGAGAAACTATAACGGGAGTTCCTGTATACATTACAACCATACATGTTCAGTATGCTTGCAAAACTTTTACATTGGCCATATGTTATGCTTCTTGTTTATATTATCCAAACAAATCGCTAGAATAATAGAAAAGAAACCAACAACTAATGCGAGATCTGAAGGTGACTGCACAGCATAATGCAATGGTGTATATCCCAGTTGATCTTGTTCATTTGCACAAGCACCTGCAGCCAACAATTTTTGGATGGCTTGGAAAAAGCCGCTTCGAGCAGCATAATGTAATGCAGAACAACCCTTGCAATCTACTTTTGATACCGGGATATTAGTTGAGAGCAAATAATCAATCATAAATTCGCTGGAAAATTATTTGTCATGATAGACTGATCCTACGTCATAACAAAAATAAAAGCAAGCTATTCTTTATGAAAAAGATCAAGATGTGATCCACAAAATCACTTAATATGCTTGTTGGATACGGAAACATGTAAAGAACACACAATTTACTTCCCGAAACAAGCTACTAAACTATTTCGTTTGAAGGAAAGGGAATTAAGAGCGTCTAGATGGATGATGATAAAGGATAATGGTTTTAAAACAACCATCCTTATGGTAAGTATGCATAAAATTAACCTATTGGAGCTTGCAGACTGTGTAGCCATGTGTAAAGCTGTCCGTCCGATACAATCCACTTCTGCAACATTAGCTCCACTAATACATAGCGTTCGCGCAACGACTACGTAACCATGAAATGCAGCAAGATGGAGAGCAGTCAAACCAGATTTAGTTTTCCTGGAAATATACAGAAATAAAACAAGAAATTTAAGTGAGGAAACAAAGCACACAACTTTTGAACTAACAAGAAATCAAATTTTCTAGGAATGCCTGAGACTAAATATGACTACCTCAATTGTGGAAACAGTTAATCTAGTGCCACTAAGAATTCATTTCAAAGAATTATACAGAATGAAACAAACGATCAGAAAAAGTATGATACAAGCTGCAATCCGCTCCAGCACCCAGAAGATGCTTGACAATAAGATCATGGCCATGTCTGGATGCCATATGAAGTGGAGTAACACCCTGAATAGTCGCTGCATTAACCGGTATGTCTTTAGCTATTAGTGATTTCGATCGTGCTATTCGGCCATACTGGCAAGCAAAATGTAAAGCTGTACTACCATCAGTTGACTGGTAACCGATTTCATGCGTTACTTCAATCAATAACTAAATTAAGATTTTATTTGAGTATTTTAAAGACAAGAATTGCTGTATTAATACACTACATTGATATGATCATTTATAGAAAACATATCCTAATATATTTCGTGAATTTCTTTTTTTACAGTTCTGTATGGAACCTAATCGTCACTGTTGGTCCCAAAGAACAAAGAATTTGCAATATTCAGTTACTGTTCACCATGAAAGCAAATTTGAAAACAGCATTGACACTAATGGATTAATAAGAACATCTCCTTAATAATTTGTAACATTCAGATGGAAAAACTTACATCACAACTTAGGGTACCCTCTGTAAAACCCGCAGCAATATGAAGAGGTATAAATCCATTGAAATAACTTGCAATGAAAGGATTAGCTCCATTACTGATCAATCTAGAAATATCCCGGTGTGCAAAATGGATTGAGGATTACCTTGTAAACTTTTGAGTAGCAAAGAGTTTAAAATCATAAAATTTCTAAGATAAATTCTCTGAATCGCTAAGAAATTATTTCTTGTTTACTTTTTTCCCAAATTCAATTTGCAAAAAGTGAAAAGCAAAATAATCCACAAATTTCCGAGTAAAACAGTATCAACGAATAAAAAAAGAAATAAAAATGTTTGCGCAACTTGATAATATGATGACAGGATTATTTTAGGATAATGAATTCGTCGAATGCTGACCGATAAGCAACGTTAAATATGGTTGGACTTCATTAACAGTACTCAAGTCATGATATCATCCAAATCATCAAACTATTCTGTGTTTTACTAATCCATACGTTAGACTTATCAGTAAAAAGACACAGATTTAAAAAAAAAAATCTCAATAACAAAAAGCTCACATCCCAGCAACTCGGCTACGGCCATTCAATACAGCATAATGTAGTGGAGTGTAACCAGCGGAACATTGGTTATTAATGGGTAATGATGTATTTTCTAAGATAAACGTCACAGAATCCATATCACCAGACATTGCCGCATAATGTAGGATCGTCCTCATTTGCTGATCATGCAAGCTCATATCAGTTCCACTATTAAAAAGTAGTTTTAGAACATCACTATGTCCATTTAGAGCAGCCCAATGCGCTGCAGTCATACCTCGCTTATTTCTGAAATATTACATTATCTTATTACTTTCAATCATCATACTGATATGAAAAAAATGAATTGATTACGGTAGTTCTAAAATTCATAATAACACAGGTACTTTCACAGAACGCATGTGCACATATGCAATTGTATACAACATGGGCATATTCTCGAATCTATTTCGGACGATCAAAAACATCACAGTAAAACAAGAAATCAAATACTAAACATATCTTTTCTGTTTAGTATTGCTTTCTTTCTACTTGACTTACTAGCACCAAATCTTACATACTAATTAATTCCTTGGGAAATTGTGTATGCTAGAATGAACCAAAATTCTAAAAGAGAATACTGACTTAGTACTTGGGTTAGTATTTCTCTTCAATAAAAACTCGACAAAAGCAGAATTTCCATAAGACGCTGCGTAATGAAGTGGTGGACAACCACCCCAATCTGGACGATCTGAAATCTTTCACAGAAAAAAAGAAAGATTAACCAGATTCGTGAAAACTGGTGATAAAATCATTAACTCTTTTTGATAAGAATTAATGCATGCTCGTTTTGAAACAAAGCAATACAAAGTAATAAACAATTTTACAACTTTTAGCATTAACGATTACCAAAAGAACCATAGAAAATATTTTATCTTATAAGAATTACAGTTTGCTTCTAGAAGTTCAGGCTAAATAATTAAAAAGAGGAGTCAGTTTTATCAATTAATTCTCCAGCGACAAACACAGTGATATTTCAGAACATAAAAATCCACATCTTAAAGGAAATAAACCACAGCTGTTACTATTACTACTTACCAATAATCGAATCACAATTATCAAGGATCACTTCAGCACAACTCAATGCATTTACTTGTGCACATATATGCAACGATGTCATGAACTGTCTGGTTGCACTGTTTGGCTTTGCACCACGGTTGATCAATATTTTCACTGTATTTGGGTGATTATGAAAACAAGCCCTGAAAATTTATAAAACTATCTGATGGAATCCCAAGAGTCTAGGACAAAATTTAGATTATAACATACATGAATTTCATAAAATTAGTTCCGCTGAATAATAAATTTAGGAAAAGGAATATTTTATATGCTTGGTTTAAGTATCATCTTAATCATTTAAAGGGATTTTCAAATTTTTTCTAGCAACATTTTTGAAAAGTTTGCTTATTTCAAACGTTTTACAGTAAATACATGTATGATAGTGAGTAAACTAAAATGCACCAGATTACTCTCTTGTAAAACAGTACGAAAACTCTCTTCAAACCTCTGAAGTGGTGTAAACCACTCCCGATCACGTGCATCGACTCTTGCACGTGCATCAATGAGCGCGTTCACGATTGGATGATATCCATAAAAGCTTGCTAAATGTAACGGTGAAGTTCCATTCTCATCCACTTCATTAACATCAATGCCCTTCTCTATGCACCCTTGCAATAACCTTAGATCATTTAGCAGCACAGCTTTCAGCAATTCAGCCTAAAACACACAAAGCAGATTATTAGTTCCGTATAAGTTCAGCTTACCAGTAATTCTCCTTTTCTCAAAAGCATTTCTTGATTTACTTGTTACGTGAATATCGTCACTCTGAAATAAATTGCTCCACGTGGCTTTTCGAGGCATCACCTTAAAGTTATTTACCATTTGTTTTTCCATTTAAAAAAATAGTAGTAAAAAATTTCCATTACAAACTATCAGAAGTTGCTTACTAAGGTACTGGTATCATATTTTAGCCTAACAACACCCTGGTGAAATGTAAGAATCAAAACCAGCTATACAAGAACAGGTATATTATTATCAAGCATACTGTGCTTACATTCATTTTCGCTGAATTTAATTAACATATTACAAATTGCACTGATACTTCCTGCAAAATGTTCGAACAACCCGCAAACCTAAAATAAGGAAGTGGACATTAATAAAATTTATCAAAAGAAAAGAAAACAAACCGTTGTGTTATTCGATACCGAATAAAACAGAAAAAAACAGTGGGTGAAAAATTTGATACGAAACGATAAACAGAAAAAAACCAGTTGCTGAGCGAAAATCAAAACTAAGATAATACAAAAAAAACATTTGCTCACTGTGTAACCAAAATTTCGCAATGGAATTTTGGCTGATAAAGGTTCAAATTTCAAATTCAAACTGAATTCAAATTTAAAGATTCTCGTCACTTATCTTTCCACTGGTACACTTTTACGAAATTTAGCTGCTTCATTTTTTTTTTACTACTATTTCTTTTTTCAATTAACAATGACGAAGATAAACTCCACGAGGATTACAAGTCCCTGCAGATTATATGCTACATAATATGATGGAAGAATAGAATTATCGCATGGATAATCAACAAGAAGCCAAACAGGGAAATTGAGAAATAGGTTCAAATGCTTTATTCGCAAAGTATGCAATAAAAATGAAAGTTAAGGTGGATATTAACATTAAAATGGAGATTGAAGTGAGGTCTTAAAAATACTAACCCCTGATGGGTCAATAAAAAATGTGGATTTAAAGCAAAAGAAAACAGGTAGAAATGAAATTTAAAACAGCATAATAAACGAGGATGCATCATAGTCTACGAAATGAGTTATACATTCAATACAGAAAGTGGGATTCGTTTTAAAAGATAATGAAATTTTTAATTAAATCAGGGATTAGTTCTTAATAAACGATAGAAAGAAACTCCTGAGAAAAAGATCTCATTTTACGACCTTTTCACCCTATCTTCATTATTCTTACAAAAGAAAATCGATTAAAAATAGTTTTTGCTGAACTGAACATATTTTTTGAGCGTCTTCTCTTATGCTAAATGCCAATATATATATATATATATATATATAGCGAAAGCTATCGAAAAGTATAATTATATTCTAGCGATGCATTTTATTAAGTTAATTTTATTTAACTTCATTGAAATAAGTAGTTGACATAATCAAAATGTTACATATTCAAATAATTACATTTGGATTTCCGGATCTCATCTTTCAAGTTAAGATTTGATAAAGTTAATCCGAAAATTCTTGCTCGGTAATGAACTATGATCTAAATTGAAACGTTAGTCAAAAAAAAAATTTGAAGTCATACTATAATTAGTGCTAATTAATGTTTTCAAAAGTATTGCAAAATAACGACTAATTGTCAGATATAACGTAAATATTCGGACTATGCATTAAAACATCAGGCGAATTGTGCGAACATTTTGGTTTATCACAGCAACAAATGATAAGAACATGTTGCTTTTATAATCATAACAATAGTACTGTAACCGAGATTTTCATTCATAAATTCCATTTTATTCCATTCCTTATCCAGATTTTCTCAAAAAAATGATTTCAAAATTTTTGAGAATTCGAGAGCTCCTTCCTCCTAAATTATCTACCCGATATATAAATGATAATGCTATAATTTTAACACAGTCTTTATTACTTCATGCCTCATTTCTCTCTTTCCCTTCTTTCCATATTTAATCAGAACACATATCACCCAACCTATTTTAAGAAATAAATTACCTGTGAACCTCAATGTCTTTAAATCTGATTTTAATCAAATAAAGCATCCCATATGAAATAAAAATTTATTACAATTTACTGATTGCATGACAACCAAGAATGTACGAAATACTTGATAAAATGATTTGATAACGATTGGTAATCATTGGTAACTTATTGCTATGATTTTAATAATCTTACTAATAACCACTGACAATTTACTGTTATGATTAATAAACAGTATTGAACAACAAATGAACAAATAATGAATACAAATGATAATTAGTAATAATTATTATCATACCAGTGACAAATTAACTAACAATAGTGATAGCAAATGAAACAACTCACCTACCAATATATCTCTTCCCAACATTACTGAGCAGCACAAACAACCAACAAATGTTTACTCTCTTTTCATTTAAATCTCAATCTTTGCTGTTATTATGGTCGAGATCATTCTCTGCTCTTCTTATCATACTCTTTTTTGCTTCGTTGTAGCATGATACTTCACAATTACTTCCCACCAATCTTTGTCGTCTCTTTATTACTAACCCACCTCATCGCTACCAATGCCTACTAGTCTTCTAGATACTTAACTGCCCGCCATTGCCCGAACTCTTCGCAACTACCCCATCTCTCGCCCACTACACCGATCAACTGCTTTCTATCTTTATAATGTCATGTTGATAGAATTTCTCCTGCTTGTGCAACGATGATGACGTTGACCACAACAATCAAGCCACTCAGTGAAAATAAAGCAGTCATACAATTCGTTTCCGCTGCACAAATTTTTGGCCCAAAAAAGCATTTGAGTTTGAAATAGTTGCAAAGAAAAAACCGGACTTCCAGAAATCTAAAGTTAAATTTGATCCAGAATCACCCGGTCTCAATAATTACAAAGCTACATCTAAATTTTTTACATTTCCGATAAATTTACATTTCCGATATAAATTTACATTTCCGATAAACTATATTTAAGTTAATCTATTAAATTTTACTTGTAGACTAAATCAATTTTCATTTGACTTAATAGTCAGTAAACTGGTTCTTACCTATAAAAATAATGCTAGCATTATGTTTATAGCTTATATGAAGTTCCGGGAAGTGTATTTGTGGATTTCTTTTGTAGCCACTTCTTATGTCTCTTGCTAGAGACTATCAAAGTATCTGTAAAGGAATAATTAAGTCATATGAAGGGAAACAAAATGATGCAATAATTGATTCAACAGTATAGTGTGTGAAAGGACGTAGAAGTGCGCATGGAGAAATTTCAATTTTTAAGAAATCTCTTCCAGAAAGTTTATCTCTAATAACGTTCTCAGACTAATAAGATTTGAAATTCAAGCAGGATTTCAATTATTTTTGACTTGAATTATACGAAATCAATAATGAACCCTATTTGAAAGCCTATGATACATTATTGCATTCTGAGAATCGATTGGAAACGAAATAGCACGATGTTCAAGAATAGAATTATGAAGATGGACCAATATAAGGGAGAGGTTTTTTCCTGAAAAAAAATTTGAAAAAAAAAATTCGATCAGTTAAACCAATCATTATGATTATTGAAATATTCCTTCTACCATAATTTAGAACTAAATATGGCTTAACAAAAGGTACTATTAAATTGAGCTTTACTGCAAGAAATTTTCTCATATTTCAACTAATACTTTTATACATCATTACTATGATGCAATCAATATTATTCAAAAATAATCATGCGTCAAGCACACCCTTAACGCAAAATCAATCTTTCTAAGATTAATTAAAGCCTGAGAAAGTCCCAGATCTATAAAATATATAAATAATATAGGAAAACAAACAAAGGGGAAAAAATGGAAATAATATGGCTTGCTAAAGACAATTGCTTCTTGATGTAACATCAAACAGTTTGTCAACCCAAGTTCCGTTCATTAATCAGAGATTAGTTTCGCTGAAAGAAAAAGATCAATTCCTTAAAATTACACTTACAACAATTGATAACGACAGCGATCGAATATCAATGGATGAGCTAAATGAAATGAATTGACGACCGGAAGTTTGATTTTCACTGATACGCAGTGGATTGTAGCAAATGAAGGTAATGTTTTCCACGGGAAATATATCCTATTATCCAGAGTGAAATAAAAATAGTAATTTAACGGAAGATTACAATAAAATAATCAGAAACTAAGTATTAACAAAATTGAATACAATTTAATAGATGGATAGTGCTTAGTAACCAAATAGCAAATGAATATTTTAAATTAATATTTGAAAATATTTCCACTTTCATCAAAGAACGAATTCAATAGCTTTGTCATGCGTCAACCAAAAAAATTTCATAAAAGCCACAAGCATGATAGCAGAAATTTCATAGTCATGATATTATGAGAATGATTTTTAAATACGATATCTCGTAATCATGATACCTTGAGATTATTTTGATTATGACTTACACAATCATGAAATATGAGAATGATCTTTAATTATGATATTTTAGAGTTAGAACAAACTGGCATTGTTTTTAGTTAGGAAGAGATATTGCACAAAAGCGAAAATTTCGACAGCTTCATAAATATAACTATTAGAAGATGAAAACCATAATTTTTAGATAAGAAAACACCTTGAAAATTGAATTTTGGCTAATCTGAATAAAAGAGGAAACAATAATACAAAATATAATATAAATTTTAATTCACTATATACAATTTTAAACAAAATGGAAGATCAAAATTTCTAAGTGTGATTGACGGCACAAAAATAGGTGATGATTTCCTAATAACTATAACAAAACAATCTAAAATGAATAATACTAAATCGATTTCTCGGTTATTCTTGAGAGACTCAATATAAAAAAAAAAATTGATTTGAAATTCCCACTTGATGATCAAATAAATTTGATTTTTGGCTAATATGAATTAGCATGGGAGACAATAATATAAAATTTAATTCATTATAAGCAATTTTCAAAAAAAAAAATAATATTTCAGATACGTGATAGTTGTTTATACCAATCAAGTCATTATTTCATTCAAATTTATTGAAAACTAAAATAAAAAATGAAGAGAAATTTTCAAAAATCTACGGAGTATGAAAGAAATTTTTGCAACGTAGTTTATTCTAAGTGCTGTGAATTTCTTAAATTTACATTTTTATAAAAGTCCTTAGTTTCTAATTTCCGAGGAAATTTACTGTTCTCAGCTTGTCCCTTCTAAAATGGCATTTTTTTTCACCACAAATTTGAAACAAATTAATTTATATACAAACTTCATCATATATTGGCAAGTGATGTAAGTCGGATTTAACGTTAAACATCGGATGAAAACAAAAACGCTGCAGCTGGACAAAATGT